CGGCTTTCGATTGTTAAGGTAAGTGTGCGACAGATTTATTGCCTACTTTTCGGTTTACCTTAAGTATTGACCAAGTAATTTACAGGTAACAGTAAAGTTAACCTGGCTCATGGCATTAATTACACATCTTCCTGATTACTAATGATTTCACCGCAATAGACTTGTAAATCCCGAATTAATTTGAATTATCACAGAATCATGAATTAAAATCAGTTACAAAGGACACTTTAGTTCAAGAGAAAACAGTGACTACTTATTCAATTCTTGAGAAAGTGATTTGAATTAAAGATATAATTGAACGTATATGTATACATTTATATACATGAGTCAAAGGTATTATTAATAAATAAATTGTAGCAAATTTAATCTCACTTACCCAAATGAAAATTCGGCGGCAGACTTGGATTTCTATGAATCACAACATCACTTTAAACATTTTTATAAGTATCACATTTAAATCTGCAAAATTCAATAGATAAAAGATTATTTTATTTAATTAAAATATTTGCCAGAGAAAAAGAAAGCTTTTATCAATTTTAAATTCAGCATGCCATAGAAAAATAAAGAAAATGTATCTTATATTCATTACTTATGTACAACTATGAAATAAGGATTTGTTTTTTAGGAATATCAACAGCCAAAATATATTATTAAATGTCTTTTAATTGATTTCTCTTTATCTATTTTATGTTTTTCCCGTAGACTAAGATACTTTAATCCGTTTTAGTTATTTACTTTAAGCATTGTGACATTTATCCGCCCAGCATTTACTCCCACTAAAAGTGTAAACATTTTATTTAAATCAAGTTTCTGATTTAGTTAGCTAACTAATGTCCCCTAATCTGTGTCAAAAACAATTTTAATTTAAAATAAATCAAATCTGTGTCATCCTATGCAACCAAGTGTAAGGCTAATTCAAGTTCCCTTTTCGCGATCAATTGTTTTGCGAGCGCAATTAAATAATTAGAACTCTTTACGCCACGAAGCCGCAACAGTCTCATTAATCACAGAGAGCCGCCAGCAGCATGCAAAGTTTGTCAAGCCGGTTTGTTTGCCCGTCTGCGAGTCAGTTAGCGCCAGGTGCTAATTACACACGTGACGCCGCCGGTTCGCGAGGTGCAAAAAACTGGGCTACACACACACACACACATAACTTTCGTGCAACACACACACACACACCCACACACACATGGGAACGCACTGAGAACCTGCGGGCTAAATCCAAATGCCAGCCACTGTGCTAATTGTTTCAGTTGTTCCGGCAACGTTTATCAACCAGGTCAGAAGTCGCTGGCATTAGAAAAAAAATTAAAATTAAAAGCACCCGCGAATAATTGTCACGAAACAAGAAGCACCGAGCTGGGTTCTATGCTTGGAAAGAGAGAAAAAAATAGAAGAGAGACGGCTACATGAGTTGTGCAAGTTTTAATTAGTTAATTTAACGCCTGGCACCAACAGGAGTCCCGTTGCACGCTGCGTATGAGTAATGAGCTCGCTCACCCTCATAGATACAAAGTTATACACACACACAGGAGCGAGCAAACGGAAAGACGTCTAAATCCGTACAGAGAGAGAAAATAGTCACTTAAACAATTTAATTAAATAATATAAACCTAAAATTTCTTAATATTAAGAGTGTACTTTTAGCATGCAAAGTTTTGTAGAGATAGAAACACTTTAATTTTTTGGTAATTTATTATTTTCAAACATTTACTCTTAAGGCTGACAATCAGAGCTTAATAAGTTTTATAAATTTTTATATTTTGTCATAGTTTTAAAGACCTTCTTTCGGGTAATTTATCTAAGTCAAACATAAACTATCAAAATGAATATTCCTGGAGCTAGAAAACTAGTTGAATTTACTTTAAAGAAGCTACTTTGAATAACCTAATACTCTAACTGATGTATTACCAAAACAAATACTTAAAGTATGTTCTAGAATTTCAATGAAACAACTTCCTTTAACTCCATTTTCCCCAAGTGTGAGATATGTGAGGCAGCTATCACCCCTAACGAGTATTTCTTGAAGCTGTCAACATTTTGCCAACGCTTGAACTTTTGCACCAAAACCAGGCAAAACAGTTTATGGAAGAGGTAGAGCGGCGCACACGGGGGAAGGGAAATGACAGATAGGACTAAGGACTCAGGACTAAGGACTAAGGGTGCTGTTGCGGTGGCAAGAGACTTTTGCGGTTGGCTGTGCTAAGTAATTTCCCCTTGCGGATGCAACTAATTACTAAACATTTCGCATAAAATTCTCAACTTGACAGCCTCTAACTGCACGGCTAAGGACACGCGCACCCACCCACACACTCACCCACACAGGACAACGACTTGTGGAGAGACAGGAGGCAGGAGGCAGGTTAAAAGGGGTGTGGCATGTTATCAACAAATCTAACATGCGGCTTGTGCTAATTCACTGGCACAACCAAGCCAACCGCCAAACAGTCGACCACCGCCCTGTTTAGCGGTCATAAACTAAGGCACTTGGCCAGGATATACCGAAAGGATGGCGGGAGGACACTTCCGCTGGAGATGATTATGCGAGTCGACAGGCCGAAAGAAAAATGATCGTAAAAGTGCTTAAATTATTTAACACTGTTTTTTGTGTTTAATGCACAAAACTTCTCTTGGCTGCGCGTGAAGCAAATTGTTGCCGGAAGTTGGCAAAAGTTGCAAAAGTATGCAACATGCAACTCGGGCTCGAATGCCGACCACTTAGAGGACAAACGAAGCGATTAATAGGGAAGGACACTGCGAAAAAATAATTAGATAAAGCAGTAAATAATATGAATAATATTATAGAGATTATTTTAATTTATTTTATTTTATTCGGCTGAAAAATATAGAGGTTTCTCAATAATAGTCATTTTCTTTAGTGTATCTGCTCATATATCCTTTGCCTCCTTGAACCTGCCACATAAATACAGCATTTTTCTATACACTGTACTGGTGGCAAATATGTGGTTGGTTTGTACAATTAACGCTTAGTTAGGGGTATAATTAACGCTGCGACTATGAGTTATGAGTCACTGTTTTTGAACGGAACCCGTTTAGGAAATTCCCCTTACTCAGGGGCCAGAAAATTGAATTTTTGCCCCATTCACTTGAACTCTGCTCCTCGAGTCCCCCCCTCTCCCCTTGGCCACTCCCTTGTAATTGGCCAAAGGGCAGCTAGCCGGCAATTGTCGTCTGTTTATCTACATTTGTTGCTGTTAGCGTTGTTAGCGTTGCATGTGTTAATTATATCGCGTTACGTTGCCATGTTTGCACTGGCATTTTGAATGTATTTTCGCTTCGCAGCTGAAAACGAGGCAAATGCACTCTGTCGAGCAGAATCCATTGGCTTGGCCAGTATTGGTGGTGGTGATGGTGGTGGTCAGTGGTGGTCACTGGTCAGTGGATCGATTGGAGCACGGAACGGGCTTGATGTGGGCTGTGGGGGCCCGAAAATGAAACCGGCTCTGTGCCACCGCAGTCAGTGCGTAAACAAATCCATGATATTTGCTTGTGCCACCAAAGAGATGCTCGCTCATTATACTCTATTAAAGGGGTATTATTGGTTATAGATCTGATGGGTAAATCAATCTTTTTGAATTGAGCAGGATAGAAGGATTTTAAAATTAGTGTTAGTTTAGGGTTTTTCTGTAAAACAAACATATAGGCATATATTTTACATTTATGAATATTTGTATACCTTTGTAGGGTATTATAATTTTATTCAGAAGCTAAAAAAAACATTAAAGGAGTTATTTCCGACCCTATAAATCATATATATTCTTGATCAGCATCAACAGGCGAATCGATCTAGCTATGTCCGACAACAATAATTTTTTTTTCAAAATTTTCGCATTTTATAAGGTGTAAAATTGTTAAGTTTGAGTTATGAAAAATTGAAAAAAAATTTAATTTCAAATAACTTTAAATTGATTATGCAGATTAATTAATCTGATAAAAACTAGCAAAGGACAGCTTTCCAAACTGAAATTAATGGTTTTTTGACTTAGTTATGGGTTTTTTAGGATTTGATTTGTAGAACAAATTTTCATATAAAAATATCGATAATAACGATTTAAAAAATGGTATTCTAATTCTACTCAGAAGCTTAAAAAACATTGAAGGAGTCATTTTCGACCCTATAAGTCATATATATTCTTGATCAGCATCAGCAGTTCAATCAATCTAGACATGCCCGGCAAGAAAAAAAATTTCGAAATATTTTTCACATTTTAATGGGTTAAATTTACATTGTTCAAACTTTGAAACATTGATAAAAATGTAAGTTTTTAAAAAATTTTAATTGAGTACGCAGTTCTATTAACCTTACAAAAACTAACATAGGAGTGGTTTCCGAATTAAAATTAATGCTCTGATCTTTGATATATGAAGAAAATTGTCATGTTTAATATCGATTCAAGGAATGCGAATATTTGAAGCTTATGATCGATTTTCGATTAAATCCTACAATTCAATTGCAAACTGGAAGGGTATAAAATTTGGCACTCAAAAGTTAGTTGTGTTTCTTGTTAAGTATTAAATTTTTCGGGTTCTTTAAATCTCTGTTATAATTAGACTTTAATTTATTTTTTTAAATACTTTGTTATATTGAGATCTGAGAAATCCTTTGTTTAAATAAATCACAATGACAATATAATTTTCCTGGATTCCTTAATTTACCCAGATATATTTGAAGGGTGTTCCCCTCTTCGGGTTCCTTGGAAAGCCCTCCATTTTTTTTTTCTTGTTTCTTTTGGGGTTTTGGTGGACTCAATGCTGCTGCGATTGGGACTTTGGCTCGGTGATGCTGATGCTGACGCTGGCGGTACGCCCAGCAGAGACGTCGCCGCCTCTGTCTCCGTCAACGTCACCGTCTCCGCCGGCGTCAACGTCAACGGCGCGCAGCACGAACCTTCCGCGACGACGACAAGATCGAAGCCAGGCAGCGGAGAAATAAACGCCGCCCAAGAGGCAGGCCCGCAGCTGGCGATGAAAACAAACCCGTCGTGGCGCTCGCAGACACAAGACGCAGTTCCGAATCGATCCCGCACAGCTCGTGGAAATTCACTTAAATACTCAAAAATAAATATACCCGAAAAAACGAGAAAAACTCAACAAAAAGTGCTCGCCCGAAAACGGAAGCAAACTAGCCAGCTAGCTGAAAAACGTAAATGAAATTTATTATTTGCTTCTCATCTTAGCGTGCCAATAAAACATTGCATTAAAATGCAAAAATATATATAAATAAAAGTATAAAGTGTGGGCGATAAACGGAAAATTGATTGAACAAGTTCGGCTTTATCGGGGGGCTTTACAATCACGCGATCTTCAATCGAAGCCGAGGGGAGGCAGTGTTAGTTATTTACATAACCCTTTGAGGGCCCTTGGGTCACTCGTGCGGACGTGACAGAAATTTCTGATAACGAAGGTCGTGGGTGACCCCATCCCTCCCCCCACACTTGAGATGTGGAAAATTTTTTGGGGGGATTTCATAAAATTCCGCGACCAAATTTACCAAAAACTAAGCGGAAAAACACTACTTGAAGTGGAATAAATTCCAAACTCCTCCTCTCCTTCCCAATGAATTTTCAATTTCTACTAACAAGCCCAGTGAAACGGCAGTTTGTATTTAGTTTTTTTTTTATGGCCTGTCGCTTCTCGGATTTTGATAAATTAATTCCAAATGTTAAATATTTTACGAACTTTTCACATGGTCAGCCATAAATTCTTCCCCTGAATTCATTAGCAATGCAAACGAGCTACCAAAACAAAAATAAAAACATATATACAAAAATTTAAACGATTTGAAGTCAATCTTTTCAAATATGCCACATAAAGCACTAAATAGTCAGCTGGCAACAAAACGAACAGGTTTCCCGAACAAACCAACGCCGCACGCTGGCTAATTAAATATAGATTGGTCACCGATATTTACAATATGTTTTTGTTTATGTAAATTCCTCCCTAAACAATATCGCCGCCAAGATCTATCCAAGTCCCACGTGTGTTTCACCCGTTTTGTGACTATAAATAAAGCCTTTACCTGTAATATAATATAGTTTTTGTGACTTTGGTAAATTAATAACAAATAACAATGAGAGTGGGCGAGGGGAGGGGCCTTGAGCTTGAGCCCTACAGCCGGGTGCAATTACCTGGGTTACCCCCCGGTCCCAGTGCTGTGTCACAATTTCCGCAAATTATATTAGTCGCTCGTAGCCGGTCGGCAGCTTATCCCCCAATCACAATCGCATCACCGTCCACATCATTTTCATTTTCATTTCCACTTCCAATTCCATTTCCATTTGCTGCCATTTTTCAGACCAGCCCAGCCGAAAGAGTGAAAATTAATTAGTGCCGTTATAAATAAAGCATAACCATCGGACGGCCAAATCATTTGACATTCAGTCCCCCATCAGCCGTGGGACAGACGAGTGCCAGTGTAAGAGAGCGCGCGCGAAAGGGTGACGAATGAATCCCAAAAATTTCAACTAAACACAAAATACAAAATACAAAACACAAAAAAACAAAAAACAAAAATAGCAAAAAGCCCGGCCAAAAAGAAACACAAACTGAAAACGGAAAACAGAAAGCAGAAAGCGTAAACCGGAATCAAAACAAAAAGTAAAAGATTTGAAATAAACGCAAATCGCTTGGCGCCGGTTAAATTATCAAATCATTCACTAGTCACGTGATTAAATTCAAAATGAACTGTTGTTCAAAATGAAACTATAATTTATGGTTATATATATATATTAAATATATATAGAGTGAATATATTTTAAAGTATTTAATCTGACCTAGAAATAAATTTACACAAACATATAGAAAGTTCCTAAAACATCACGTGGAAAAAGAGTGCTAGAATTCCTTCTTATAATAATTTTAAACTACATATTAATACTTTTTAATACTAATTAAATTTTTGAATACTTCAATAATATAACAGTGCTTAATATTCAATATTAATGATATAATGATATTACAATTGTAATAACTTAGATGAAAGAAAGGTCATTCAAGGCAAAACATTTGCTGCATTCCTTTTTAAGAGCAATATATGTACCTCATTATTATACAAGGTTTAAAACAATATTCAATTAGATACCAAATTTTGTTTGGGATAAAAATAAATAAAATAAATGTAACACATAAAACTTTAAAAGGACCACGCAACAGAAGAGTGAAAGGATTTTAGCCTTGAAAACTTAATTTCTTAGTAAAAGAAGTAATCCTTTCAAATAGAAATAATATATATATAGTTCAGTTTTCAGCGAATTTTTAATCTGTAAGATAAACCCAGGCGTTTCATCAACGAAATAATAAGCAGACAATTTTTAAATTAAAACAAACATGAAAGAAACAGAGAAATATTTGAAATAAAAAATCCCAAATCTTTAATCTTTATAAAATCAAAATGTAGTACTTTTTTGAGTCAAAAATAAATTCCTAGAAAAATAGTTACATTTAATATTTAAACCCATTTTTCTTTCAAATCCAAAAAAATACAGTGTCATCCTTAAATATTGCCTTGAAATGCATATTCCTATGTCACTGCCACTGATGCTCTTTTGCAGCATCCACACAGTCATTGTTCCTTGTTCTCATCCCCATGCTTTTGTTTATTGCTAAATGCACTTTGACAAAGATATCGTATGTAGAAGATATATACTAAGGGGGTAAAGGGGGGGAATATAGAATACAGCCGGGTGTCGCGTGTGGCGGCCGTTGCCATAAGAATTTAATTCTACAAAAGAGAAAATGGGCAGATAGCCAGCCAGGCAGACTCGCAAATAAACAGATAAATAAATATATTAAATATATATATAATATTGTAACAATGATGTGCCCGATTTATGCGTAATATAAAGCTAAAAATATATCTATGTCGCCGTGCTAATAAACAAAATCAACTTCTTCATTTCTTCCGCTAAATAAACACTCAGAAACATATCGGAATTCGTGCAAATTGACATCGGTGACACTTTCCTTTGGTGTGGATTTGATTGAAGGTAAGTGTGAATTGATTTACCTGGGATGCTTTAAATAAAGATCCGTAAATCAGAGCTACTACGGAGCATCTGTGTGGCTGTCTCCCAGCGTGGATATAACTATTAACGGGCTCTGGGTTTGTGTATTGAGCATTGGGCATTGGGTGGGCGCTAAACATGCAAAACCCCCTTTGGCAACACTTTTTGCCGACGCGCATTTGTCATGCAATTTTAATCGCAATTGCATTTTTAATTTTCCTCTTCCACCTGAAGAGAACTCTCTTCTACCCTATCCCCCCCTCCCCCTCCTGCCGCAAAAGCTGGCAAAGAAAAATGCTCGGAAAAAAAGAGTGAAAATAAAAGCAAATAAATATTAAATGCAATACACTCAATACCCAGACAGGCAGACGGACAGCCGGCAGGGAACTGGCAAGCGAACTGAGAACTGAGAGCTGAGTCCCGAGGACCGACAGTGGGGTAAAAAGCGCACGAAAGCGGGCGCACAGTGGGCGGGAAATCGCCTGGCGGCGAGCTACTAACACATTGGCATACAGAGAATGCGAGATGGGACAGGATGCGAGCTAGCGAGCGAGCTATGCGTCCCATTTGCATAAATCTACATTTTAACTATTTTTTCATCCGTCCTCCGGCAGCTTCTCCTGGCTTTTATTTCGCCCCCAAAGACGCTGCTCTTAAAACGGAGGATTTTAAGGAGTCTAAACCGGGAGTTTAAATACTCTTTTTAACTAGCTATAAAGGAGGCATAATAATGCTTGAATAATTTCTCGAAATATTAATTTGTATTTATTTAAAATGGTTACCAAAGAGAACAAGCTTCCAGCTATCTTTGACAATGAAAGATTTAAATAAGAAATGCTTTTTTCAATGTAATATTTATAATTAAGCCACAAATTCATTAATCCCTATCCTTAGGGTATATAGAAAATAAGGGAGCAAAGCCCCAGGACTAAAGAGACTATGGGTAACTTGATAAATATTCGCGCAATGCTGGCGTGAAATATGCAACGATATTTCTTGTGCAACTACCAATGCAGCAAAAAAACCGGCAAAAGCAGCAACAACAACAACAGCTGTCATCCAAGTGGCCAAGTATTGGGAATTCGAATTGGAATTGGAATTAAAATTGGTTTTATTTTTAGAGCCGAACCAACATCGGGCATGCGAAGTTTTTAAAATGAGTTGCATCGATTGAAAAGCGTACATGTCAGAATTTGTGACAAACATTGACTAATTAAACATGAGCCCGCATCGGACAGATTGTCAGACTGGTATTAACATTCTACCCGCCAATAATAAGGACAAACTCAAAATTCTGCACTGAAAATAAAACTTAACAGTCTGTTTTAAAGATATACAAGATTTCTATGGAGGAAATTACAAGATTACATTGAATTTGGGGAATAAATATACAAGTAGGGAAAGTCTACGTTTGACTTATCAATGATTTTATTTAAAATCAAAAGATATTTATGGGTTTTTGTGACTATTTTACGAGTGTACCCACGAATGGCTCAATGTAACCACAACAACCGCAACCTGCGACCGCACAGCAAACCGAATAATGAAGTCAAATCCTCAATATAAACACACACAGTACACACACACACACACACACTCTGGGAGCATATTTCATGAATATTTCATCGAGACGAGAGCATTGTTGATGGCAATTTAATGCCAATACTCGAATGGTTTTTTCTTGTTATTGCTCTTGTTAATTTTTATACATTTCTGTTGACATCTGACAGGTCATGAATGAAAGCGCAAGCTACCATGGATTTTTCCTCGCACATCTTCCCAATTTTTCCGCTCACTTTTCATGCAATATTTTCTTATGCGAAATTACAATAATTTTACAAAGTAGTCAATTAGCATGAGAACAACGACAGGCCCCCTCAGACAATCGCGTGACAAGTGCAAGTGGCGAGAACTTAACATTGTTTATTCAGTAAACTTTAACGAAAATTCACTTAATTCTCACATCATTTTGTTTAAAAGGGGGATGGTTAAATAATAGTAGAGAGAGGGGTTTCTTTAAGAATGTAATGTATTTTATAGAGTTAAGAAATATTTTTTGAATGAGTTGTTGGCTTATCATTTCTTCTTAAACTAAAGCACTCTCTTAATTTATGTAGAATAGAATTCTTCCCTTAATATCTATTCTTAATTTCTTGCTTAAATCCAATTTAAACTCCAAGCTGTATTTTTTATGGGAAATAAATATCTTAATTCCCCCAAGTCACGAGTGCTATGTAAGCATTAACTCCGCCTGCTATCTGTGCAGCAGCAGCAGCAGCAGCATAGAGTTCGCCTCGGCAATCAGGCAATGGAAAAACAGCACATGACCACTATATCAACCACTCGGAAAAACAAACCAAACCCGATTGCTAAACCACGTGACTGAAACGATACCGGTTGCCAATAATCTGCAGACTGATTTCCAGTCTCAAAATAGCCACTCAGCCAAGCGACGAAAATAACATTTTCATTTTTGGCTCGACTTTGATGTCAATAGCAAAACTGCAGGCAGTCAGCATTTACATACTCGCATTTAAAAATATATAAATGAAATATTAAATACTACAGAGGCAATAAACTTATTATGGAAATTCAGAGAAGATCGGTTGATTGACTTAAGGCTATAAATACTTGACATTGACACCTTGCTGCAAGTGGCCTGGATAAATTGAATTGTTGATTTTGTTAATTATTTGGCCAGTGCAGATAGTAAACATTAAAGCCTCAGTCTCTGAGTCTCTGAGTCATGTGGACTTTGCACTAAGGCTGCACTCGACTAAATTTACTTTGCCAGATGATTGTGATTATTTATTTTTGTATTTTTGGTCTGCTCAGCAAAAAACCGTAGCAACTTCTAGCTATTTCGATTGATTAATTGACATCACATGAGGCGACTCTACTATTTTTAAATCGAATCGAAGCGGTGTCATTAAAAATGAATAAAAACTAGTTCCCATAGAGCGAAACTCTTGCCGGTTTTTTTGATTTTGTTTGGCTAATCAATACAGATCGATGGCAGAGAATTCGCAGACATTTCACAAAAGTTGAATGACTTGCCGGCGAGTTCGGTTACCTTTTTTGGGGCCCCTCTAATACTGATTGCATATGACCCAAATTGGGTTTAAGTCGATTAAAAGAAGGCATTATGCCTACCGGGGCATGCCGTGCAATCAGAAATCGAATTGCCATCGAACAAACAAGCAACCAAAATAACCAAAAGGAGCAACAGAGTCTCAGGGCCATGCAACATGCATTCTGCAGCAGGCATTTATCAATGAAAATGCAATAATAAAAAAAGGAAAACATTTTGCAGTTTGCATGGCTGTTAGTTCATTGAACTCCAAGCACACACACACGCACAAAAGACGTCCTCGGGCTAAATGCAACTTACCTGTTCCATTTCATTTCATTTTGGATTCATTTCGATTCATTTGTCTGCCTGCAGAAATCACCAAGGAACCAGAAGGGACTTCTTGCGTCTTTAAACCAAATCTTAGCCGCTTCGTAACTTGACCTGCAGCAAGTTCTTTTGCTTATAAGCCACGTCGCTCTCCCCGCAATCGGACAGCCGTGATAAATGTGACAACAACAGGCCAATAGGCGGCATCCAGCTGGGCATCATATCCTCATACTCCATACCCCTATACCATTCCCCATTCCGCATCACAGACCATCCAGATCCACTCGTTTCAACACACTGAGAACAATTTCCTTACCCGTGAAGAGAGGTGTTTAAAAAGTGAGTTCAAGAGATGAGAAATCGAAGTACATTTATAAGATTTGCTTAGTTTTTTAGTTGTCAGATAAAAAAGTAAATAATTCCAAAGATATCTACATTGTTTTATAGCTTAATGTTCTTTTTAATTAGCACTTGCATGAACTTCAATAATTTCGAATCAACAATGGATAATGAACTCACAATGTCATAGCCATCATAAATAGAGGATATAATAATATTGTTTACAAAATGATTTACCTTATAAACAGACTTTTTAAGCAACTTTTAACCCCCAACACAAATGTATTTCTTTGTTCATTCCTTTCCAAATCAAATATATTTTTAATCTTCTCAAGTCTCACACCTTTTCTCCCAGTGTCCTGGGCCCAGCCCAGCCCATATTTTCTCCCCTCCCTCTTGACTTGTCATTTCAATTCCATTTGGCCAAAGTTGAGATCCAGTCGCTGTGCTTAAGTGCAGTCCCAGTCCCAATTTCCAGACACAGACGCAGCTCCAGGCCAGCGGGCCATCCTCAACACTATTAACAACCGTCTCCGTCTCCGTCTCCGTCTCCGTCGTCTTCTTCCCCACCTTCTTGGCTTCTGGGCCAACTCTCGTATTTCAACTTCTGGCTAATTGTTGTTGGCATGGCGACGGTGACGGCTTTTGGACGCTGCCTGAATATTATTATTCCCGGCTAATGCGATGCTCCGGCTATTTGAAGTTGAATCGCGGTGCTACGTGCATAAAATTGCGGCGATCTTTTTGCTCTAATCATAAGCATTGGGCACGGTTCGCATTTTAATTGCGCTTCGATTGGACAAAATGTTGCAGCGGTTTTTAAATTCGATTGCATGATACCCCTCATATCTTTAAGCAATGCCAAGTGGAGTTGAAACCACATTGAATAAGAAGAAATATGAAATTGCACAAACTTTGGGGCACCCTTTCGTTAGCTCTGATTGCCTCAATCAATGGAGAAGCTAGTTGCCTGTGTTGCAAATCAGTCCCAAGCTAAACCACACTCGGGACTCGGGCAGGAGGAGAAATGGAAAGAATACAAAAAAAATCCATAACAAAGTAATCAATGAAAGTTGGTTGGGAAATAGGGCCAAGCCAAGTGAGTAACCCAGAAGCTCCAGACGGAAGCCGAACACAGTTTCTTGTGGCTTCCACTTCTGTTTGGCCAACACGCTAAGCAGACAGCAAACCAACCCAACACAGTTCCGACCAACTCGAGCGAAATCAAATCAAAGCACTCAAA